GACCCATAGCGACCCTGTATAGGGTTTCCAAGGAGTAGCTGGTGAGCTTGAACTGCTGACCTTGCATTTCAAATGGCTTTACAGACTGGCGCATTAACTATCCCACAGCGCGACACCAGGACTCCAGTATATTTAATTCTTTAAAAGTAGGTTGTTGTATCACTCAATTCACAATAAAAACTTTAAAAAAAGTAGGTTCCTATCAATTAGAGCAACATAGCTATAGAAGGTGGCCTGTATTTCATATAGATATGCCTTTAATTATGCTAATATTTTCATTTTTTCATTGCAATTGCTGATTTTATAAAACATGACTTTTCTCTGGTTTAAAAAAAAAGATAATGGCTATAGAGATTGAGCTTGGGTTTGAGCCTAGTACAGGTAAATATTTCAGAATTTTCAGAAATATGGACTTTTTACCCTAAGGACATCTGTGATCAGTAACTAAAATAGTGGGAAGCAGTAATAAGGGGAACAGAAAAAACGGAAAGCAGATGTACTTGAAAAAATATTTTAATTGATCTGATAACTTTTCTGGCTCATGACTGAAGATAAAAGAAAACTGGATAAAGTAGAATTCCATTCTGGTTTTCAATTTCTAAGTTTTAAGTTGTGTGAAAAGTAAACCCTGTCATTTTTAATATGGTATCATTTCTTTTACTAACATACTTTTATCATGCTATTAGATAATTTATATAAAACATATTGAAGACATTCTTTTTTTTCCCTTTCTCTTTCTCCCAACAGCTACCATTTTGTCCTGTGGATGGATTATTTATCTCACCTATTATAACTCCCGGAATGTTGGTCTTATTTTAACACTGGTTCTTAACAGATTATATAAACATGGCTATATCCATATTGGTAAGTTTGAATAACACTGAGATGTTTTTCCTTCATGTAGTCTTTACAGGATCACTATGAGTGACCCAAGGATTAGAAAACCAATTTTACTTTGCAAACAGATAATAAAATAGCTGTAGAAATTTACCTTTGTTTCATGCCGGTTGTTGTGTTGTTAGGTGCCGTTGAGTCAGTTCAGACTCATAGCAATGTTATGTACAACTATGAGTTGGAACTAATTGGACGACTCCTAACAACACATCAATTTATAGATTCAACTGATCTAATTGGGATATTTCTTACTTATCATTTCATGGCTAAAGACAAACTATCACTTGGTTATGTCCTTTGCCTCATTCTGTTGTTGTTTTTAAGTGTCATAGGTTGGTTTCCGAGGAATGGTTGGTGGGTTTGATCTGTCAATGTTGCAGTCCAGCGCTTATTCTATAGCACCATACCAGGACCTAATAATTGTGATTTTTTTTTTGCCTATAAAAGATAAAGAAATTAAAAAATCATATATATATATATATATATTTCATATAGAAATAGAAATTTCTTAAGGTTCCACTATCAAAAAGTTTTTCGAATATCTATTTTAGTTTCTGTTGCTTTTTTAAATAACCCACATTTCCCCCAAAACTATAATTAGATCATCATAAAAGGTTGGCAGTTCAAGCTCACCAGTGTCTCCTTGGAAGCCCTGTACGTCTCCTTGACGGCACTTAACAACAACAACAACAATCATGTTATAGATGTCTTTCATTTTATAATCTGAATTACTAATACTTAATTTTATATATATAACTGATTTCTGGTGTGGCACTGTGGGATAAAGCCTTGGACTGCAGGCCAGTTAGAACCACAAGTTCAGCGGTTCAAACTTACCAGTGCTCTTGTATAGGGTTGTTATGATTTGGAACCAACTCGACAGCACTTAACAACAGCAATATAATAAGCCCTTTAGAAGTTTCTTAGGAAACTATGTGCTTTGGAAAGCCCCAAACCACAGGGGACCAAGGGATGGTGATATTACTGGGTAGAACCATTGTCACCTACCATGTAGTTGAGTAACTCTTGTTGTTGTTGTTGTTAAGTGCCAATTGAGTTGATAGGGACCCTGTATAGGGTTTCCGAGGAGCAACTGGTGAGCTTGAACCGCCGACCTTGTAGTTCAAATGGCTTTACAGTCTGGCGCATTATCCCACAGCTCCATACCAGGACTCCTGAGTACCTCTTAGTGGATATAAGTAAACCTTTACTCAAGTGTAGGTTGTTGTTAAGTGCTGTAGAGTCAGTTCCAACTTATAGCGACTCTGTGTAGGGTTTCCAAGGAGGGGTACCCTGTCGACCTTATGGTTAGCAGTCCAGTGCTTATCCTACAGTGCCAGACCTGAACTGCACTAATTTGAGGGGATACTTTGTTCCTGGAATCTCCAGATTAATGGTGGTGGTGGTGATGTGCCGTGGAGTCGGTTCTGACTCATAGTGACCTTGTACAGGGTTTCTGATGCTGTAAATGTTTATGGGAGCAGAAAGCCTCAACTTTCTCCTGCGGAACGGCTGCGGAACGGCTGATAGTTTCGAACTGGTGACCCTGAAGTTAGCAGCCCGATTCGTAACCACCATGCTACCAGAGCTCCTTCTAGATTAAGAGAGGGAAGCGATGTATTAGTCATTACTTTGTTGTTGTTGTTGTTAAGTGCCGTCGAGTCGGTTCCGACCCATAGCGACCCTGTACAGGGTTTCCGAGGGTGTAAATCTTTACAGGAGTAGAAAGCCTCATCTTTCTCCCGCGGAGCGGCTGGTAGTTTCGAACTGCTGACCTTAAGGTTCGCAGCCCGATTCGTAACCACTACGCTACCAGAGCTCCTTTACTTTAGTTGTATTTAATGGTTGTGCAAAATTAAGTGCATTAGTGTGGCGTTGTAGGATAAGCACTGGATTGTGAACCTCAAAGTTGGTGGTTCAAACTCACCAGCTGCTCCTTGGAGACCCTATACAGGGTAGGTATGATTTGAAACTTCTTTGACTGCACTTATTAACAGCAGCAGCATTCATATAAAGCAACTATATAAACTAATACTCTATGTGGTTCTATAGCAGCTCATTTCAATAGTGATGATAATTATGACACTATTTGAAAGAAGAGTGAGGAGAAATTAGTAAGACTGTACAGATGTCAGGTAAAGAGTGGAGAAAAAACTTTTAATTATTGAATAAATTGAATTGTAAGATTATTTTAAATTTTAAGGGTTCTTCTATGTGTTCTGGAGCCCTGGTGTGGCGCTGTGGGTTAATGTGCTGAACTGCAGTATCAATTTGAATCGCAAGATTGGTGGTTCAAACTTACCAGCCACTCCTTGGAAACCCTGTATAGGGTTGCTATGAATCAGAACTGACTTGATGGCACTTAACAACAACAACAACAACTATATATTCTTGGTGTGGCACTGTAGGATAAGCACTGGAATGCAAGGGCAGTTTGAACCACAAGGCCGGTAGTTCAAATCTGCCAGCCAGTCCTTCGAACCCTGTACAGGGGCATTATGGGTTGGAACCAACTTGATGGCACTTAACAACAACTATCAAAACAAATACATTAATTGTTACTGCTTTTTCTTTTATAACAGGCTCTTTTTCTTTCTCTGTTCTTTCTGGAAAAGTCATGGTTCGTGAAATATATTACATTACAGAAGACATGTCAATAAGGTAATAAAACAAAAAGTACTTAAAATACAAACTTGAAATATTATAAAAATTTGCTTATTATAAACTTATTTAATATGGTTTGCTTCTTCACATAAAACTTTAAATGTCATCCTTTTAGTAAATAATACCTGGCAAATTGATGTCTTAAAATGTTATCAAAGAATTTATTTAGCTAAGGTTTGGACTGACAAAAAGTATTAAATTGAAGCTTATGAAAGCTTACTCATGTGATCTCATTTCATTCCTAAATGAAAAATGGAACCATTAAATTATCTGTTTCTGTTTTAGAATTTATAGTGGTCATTTGTTATATAAAATGAATGAGTTAATCGCTTTCATTCATTAGTTCTTTATTAGAGATAATTAGAATTTAGAATTGTTTAGCATTTGTTAGCATCTTTAATTCTCTAGGAAGGAAGCATGCATCTGAATATAATGAGAAACAATAATAACATATTTGATGCTTTGAAACGTAAGCTGTGAAACTAAAGCCTACTTTCTTTTTATGATTAAAAAAATGTTATTTAGATAGAATATGAAATGTTTGAATTCATTGAATTACTAGGGTTTGATAGAGTCCTGGTGTGGTGCTGTGAGTTAATATGCTGGACTGCAAAATTGGGTTGAATTGCAAGATTGGCAGTTCAAGCTCACCAGCTGTTCCTTGGAAACCCTGTATAGGGTCATTATGGGTTGAAATCGACTTGACGGCACTAAACAACAATAACAATTTAGATGTTAGGAGTTAACATCTGTTAAGTCTATAAATTATTTCAAAATTAAAAGTATATTAAAAAAAAAAGTTAAGAGACCATAGTTCATTCTTTCAGTACATAAGGTAATATGTAGTTTACAGAAATGAAGAAAAAATTTTACAGGTTTTTTTCTTAATATGCTATAATCCTTCTTTTAGGATTTGGCTTATTGTTCATATAATTTTTATACCATTTTAAAAAATATTATTTTAGAAAGAAAAAGCTTCTCTGGTATCACTTTGTTTTCTTGTTAAATCTAACTGGCATTAGATTTTACCTAATTTGTTGTTGTTGTTAAGTGCCGTTGAGTTGGTTCTGACTCATTGTGAACCCTGTATAGGATTTCTGAGGAGTAGCAGGTGGGTTTGAACTGCCGACCTTGAGGTTCAAACCGACCTTGTGGTTCAGTGCTTTATCCTACAGTGTCAATTTAGAGCTATGCAAATCCTCATTTACTTTTTCAACTTTATGAATAAGAAACATAGTTTATCTCTCTTAGTTATTAAAAAGATTGCATATATTTAGGTATATCCGTGTCCTTTTGATTATTTTGTGTATTTCCTTATTCATTATCCATTAACTATTTTTATAATAATTAATTAAGGAATAAATTGTTTTCTAAATTTTAAAATTTACTTTGTTTAGAATTCAAGATGGATTTATCATTTTTCGGTGGTGGAAAATGTATAACCCAAAGCAGAAACAACATGGTGAGTTTTTTGGTTATGTGTTTATATGTGTCCAGTTATATTGTTAGAGTTTTAATATATTGAACTCAAAATATTCTTCATTTTTGATAGCTGAAAATAAGTTTAAAAGTTCTGAAGTTTATAAAAAGTCTGAAGTCTGTCATTATTGTGCTTAAAATTCTTTAGCTTTTTTTTTTAAATGCTTAATTGTGAATTGTGTGATAGTTTACATGGGAGGACATCAGCTTCACATTGATCCCGTCGTGTATCGTTTCCTTGCCATGATTACAATCCCTTCCATGCATCATCCATCAACCAAAAGGTATACCCTGCAAGCCTGTCCCCCAGTAGTCTGCATACTGTCCCTCTCTCTCTCTGGGTCCAAAGTCTCCAGCCGCTCCATCTTCCTATGTCATTATCTCTGCCTCCATCCCTGGCATCACTGCTTATCTGGGTAGGGTTCCGTTCTCAACTCTTCTCCTTTGATGGTCCCAGGGATCTCTGCTCCTAGACTGCAGGGTTAATCACTCCACTCCGTTTGCCCCAAAACATCTCCAGCCTTTACAGTCAGTTCTGATAACAATTATTCACTATTGTATCGCAAGAGACCTATTTGCATCTCCTTTCATCAGCCCTGATCAGGCAGAATGGATACTACTTAGTGGCGATTCTACCTTGCTCTGTGCCCTCAGGATCTAGGTTCTGTCTTGAAAGCTTGTAAGCCAGTCACTTCTTGCCTCTGTAGCCCTCCCATTCTGGGTAGCCAATGTGTAAGTTGCCCATCCCTGTCCTCTCCGTGTGTGGAGGAGGTGGGAATTATCCTCGCTGTGAAGAGTTGTTCACTCTTTTGAACAACTGCTCCCATAGGTATATTTCAAGTTCATCAAATTGTATCAGATTATTCTTTTTTCCCTCTTCTTTGTTCTTCTGTTTGAGCTCTGATCATCCAGCCATTGAAGCCAGGTCAAGTGGATATTATCTGCAAGTGTGGGTGTTCTTGTGCATGTGCCCTCTCTTCTTATCAGCTGGACACTTCACTCTCTGCTCTAGTCCTCTGTGGCTATGTCACTGACTCTGGGTCCAAGAGTCCCCTGGACTTGGCACATTACTGGCCAACCAGGTCTCCATCTGGGTTCATAGGAGTCTATTGAGTGTTGTAGGGCTTAGCTCACAGCTTCATTGCTGTTTTTCCCTCACTTCCCCGTATCAGTGATGAACATGGTCTCCAATCAGAGCATGCATTCCCATTGAGTCTTAGTCTTAGAAGAGGTTTTGCCCTGAGGGGGACCTGACCACTTGCCTTTATATTTCCTAGGTGAGCCACTTGTTTGTTCTTATAGCAATCAGTCAGCCTACCTATATTGTTTTGTATTTTTCCTGTCAGTCTTTCTTTCAGGAAGTATCTTCTGTTCTTCTGGCCACTCCAGGCTGGTCTGCTTGTCCTTTCAAGTGGACATTTCCCCTCAGAAGATTCTGGATGCTGTTCAGGAGTCCACCTATGGTCTTGTGTAATACAGAGGCTCCACAGAAAGCCTCCTTTGCTGGGCACATTGTATTCCTGTTTTAGGTATTCCAATCAGTTATAGGCAGAAGACAGACTTACAAGCTTTTTGTGGTGGTATTTCTGGCTATTCCTTTCTCTTCTCCTCCAGTGTCTATTTTATAGCGGTATGCCAGGGGAACCAAGATTCAACAGACAGTCAAGCAGCTTAACATAATTTCCCCCCTTTTCCCCATTCAAACCTTGTCTCAATCTCTTTATCCCAGAGCCCTGTTGTTCCAAGGTTTTGTATACATCATTATTTGCCTCTGTCCCACTTCAGCTTCACATTCATCCTATCATATTTCATTTCATTGCAATGATTAAAATCCCCTCTGTGCATCGTCAGATAACCAAAGGATACACCCTACAAGTCAGCAAATAGCTCTTCTCCCTCCCTGAGTCCCGTGTCCTTAGCCACTCCATCTGTCCATGCCATCATAGTCCCTCCACCATTTTGGGTCTGGGCAGTTTCCAGCTCTGCCCATCCCCCAAGGTATTTCAGTTAGTTATAGGCTGGATCCGGGCCCACATGTTTTCTGTTGTGATGTTTCTGGCTGTTCTGCTTCCCTCAAGTGTCTGTTTCACAATGGTAGGCAAGAGAGACCAAAATTCAAAATACGGCCAAGCTTCCTAACATTATTCCCCTCTTTCAAGCCATGCCTCAATCCCTGTATCCTGAAGCCCTGTTATTCCAGGGTTGTGCATACCTCGTCTTCTAGTTCTGTCCCACCTAACCCATGTGAACCTGCCTAACTGTTCTCCCGTCCACCTTGTTCTTCTTTCCACCCCTCCCCCCCTTCTTGTGTATTGCCAGCCTTCCCCACTCCCAGGCTTTCCTATGTCTATTCCCTACCCTATGCTCTTTCTTCCCCTCCCTCCCCACCTCTCATCCCGTACATACCAGTGATCAGCACTTACATTTTTAGATTCCACCCCCCACCTTTTGGGTGGGTTCTTTTTCTTAGTCTTTTACAATAATGGTCTTATGCAGTATTTCTTCCTTTGTGACTGACTAATTTCACTCAGCATGATGTCCTCAAGATTCATTCAAGTCATGCGATGGCTTGCAGCTTCCTTGTTCTTCAAGGTATTCCATTGTGTATATGTATCACAGTTTGTTTATTCATTCTTCAATTGATGGGCATTTTGGTTGTCTCCATTTTTTTGCTATTGTAAATAATGCTGCTATGAACATTGGTGTGCATATATCTACTTGTGTTGTGGCTCGTATTTCTTGTGGGTAAATACCAAGTAGAGGAATTGCTGGGTCATAAGGTGTATCTATTTCCAACCTTCTGAGGAAGCGCCATAGCTTTCCAGAGTGGTTGGACCATTTTGTAGTCCCACCAACAATGTAGGAGGGTCCCAGTCTTTCCGTATCCTCACCAGCATTTGTTGTCCTCTGCTTTTTTGATCTTTGCTGTTATTGCTGGTGTGAGATGATATCTCATTGTTGTTTTGATTTGCATCTCTCTGATGGCAACATTTCTTCATATGTTTGTTGGCTGCCTGGATCTCCTCCTTGGTGAAGTGTCTGTTCATTTTTGTGCCCATTTTTTAATTGGGTTATTTGTCTTTTTCTTGTAGAGGTATTTTAGTTTCCTGTATATTTTAGAAGTAAGTCCCTTATCTGATGTGTCATTGCAAAAGATTTTTTTTTCCCATTCTGTAGGTTCCCTTTTTACTCTTTTGGTTCATAATCTAGTGCATATCTTAAGCACCACACCAGGAGTCCAAATGACTGGTTTGTTGTTGTTATTATTGAGTACTGTGGAGTCAATTCCGACTCATAGTGACCCAGCACAGGGTTTCCGAGGCTGTAAATCATTACAGGAACAGAACGCCTCATCTTTGTCCTGTGGAACTGCTGTTAGTTTCAAATTGCTAACCTTGAGGTTGACAGCCCGACTCATTACCACTATTCTACCAGAGCAAATAGGGTGTATGAAACTCTACATACAGAGAGTCTCATACATACATAAACTCTGCATACATACATACTCTACATACATAAACTTTACATACATAGAGTGGAGAATAGACAGTTTTACCATCCCATTGGGTTTAAAACAAGCCATTTCAGATGCAGGAAGGGAAACTCTCAAGACCATCAAGAAAATGACAGAAAGAGAGTGCATACTTAGAATCCCGAGAAATCTGAGTATCTTCTGGCAGAAAGCTGACTTGCACATAGTGTTATTTAAAATACCAGTACAGCGACAGCTCCTAAATATGTTTTTTTGAAGAACTGGGCTTGTTTTCTCAATTGTTTTAGGAAGTTGTCCACACAGAAATTATAGATAATACGTAAGATTATGGGGTTTATTCAGGAAGTTGATAGGTTACATTTGTTTCTGTTTTTTTTTGTGTGTGTGTGTGAACTGAATGATAGTTTACATGGGAGAACATCAGCTTTACACCACTGTGTCATTGCAATGATTGCAATCTCCTTCGTGTATCATTGTTCAACAGTATTTGCTTCCATTCCTCTTGTTTTTCCTTTTTTGGGGGGGATGGGGAGATGTCCATAAACACTCTCAAGTAATATATAATAATTTAAACAACCAAAGGGCTCATTCTGCAAGCCCGCCTCCTGGCCGCCAGCACTCAGTCCTTCACTTTCTATGAGTCTAGAGTCCTCAGCTGCTCCCTCTCTCCATGTCCTCATCTCTGCCTCCATCTCTGGTGTTGCTGCTTCTCTGGATAGTGTCTTGCACCCCTTTTGTGCTCCTCTCCCTTGATGGTCCTAGGTTCCTCTGTTTCTGGACTGTAAGATTAACTCCTCCTCTGTTTTTGTTATAAAACTTCTACCTTTATAGTTGTGACAATCGCAATTAGTCTTGATAAGTTACTCACTATTGAATCATAAGAATCTTATCTCCATCTCTTTTAACCAGACCCATCTAGACAAGATGAAAACTATTCAGTGGGAACACTTCCCCTCCTCCCCACACACTCTTAAACTAAACTCCTCCTTGAAACCTTGTAAGCCAGTCATGTTGTGCCTTTATCGCCTCTTCATTTTAGGTAGCCAGTGTCTAAGTTGCCCATCCCTATCTTCCCTGCGTACAGAGGGGATAGAAATTGATGCTTGATGTGAATACTCCTACCCTATCAGTTGGTATTTAGAGTTACTACTTCCATGAGTATAGGTCAAGTTCATCAAATTGTAGGAATTTACCCTCATTTCCTTTATCAAAAATTGTTTTTTTCTTCTTCTTTTTTCAATCTTCCTCAGTGGAGTTCTGATTATTAAGCCATCAAGGCTTAAGTCACATGGGTATTTCTGCAAGTTTGGGTGTTCTTGTGTGTCTCCTCTCGCTTTATATCAGCTGGATGCGTCACTCTCAGCTCTAGCCCTCTGTGGCTATGTCCTTGTCCATAGGCTCATGTGTCCGCAGGTTTCACCACACTTTGGACCAACCAGCCCTTCCTCTTCTCTCTGTCATCTCCATGTCAATGGGAGTATATAGAATGTGGTTGAATTCAGCCCATTTCTTCATTGCTGCCTTTCCCCCTTTTCTACTCACCAGTAGACCAAAGTGATCATCAGCAAGCTTGCATGCCTGCTCATATGTTCCCTTTGAGTTTCAGTCTTAGAGGGGGATTTGTTCTGAAGGAACTTGAGTGCTCCCTGCACACTCTTAAACTAAACTCCCTCTTGAAAATTTGTAAGCCAGTCATTTCATGCCTTTATCGCCCCCTCATTTTAGGTAGCCAATGTCAAAGTTGCCCATCCCTATCTATTCTATGAAGGGATAGGACTGAAATTGATATGAAGACTCCTTCCCTTTCTATTGGCATTTTGAGGTACTACATCGTAAGTATAGGTTAATTTACACTTGGTTCCTTTATCAAAAATTGTTTTTTTTTTTTTTTTTTTTTTTTTTTGATAGGTTACGTTTTAAGATCAGAAATGCTCAGGATATAGTATTTCTGATTAGGAGTACCTGTTCTTAGCTATGTCTACAGGTACACCTCTCTGATCCTCTCAGCCATGCAGCCCTTTAGCCTCTGTCCTGCTTGGGCAGTGTTGTCTTAGTGCTGATGAGTCAGTTCAAACTCATAGTGACCCTGTAAAGTGTTTCCAAGAAGCAGTTGGTGGCTTTGAACTGCCAATCTTGCTATTAGGAGTCAAATGCTTATCCTCCAGCACCACATCAGGTCCCACATAGGTCTTTTAGCACTGCCAGTAAATGATCAAAGGGCATTTCGTTTTACTATAAGCCTCTGCCCAATGGCAATCAGCTCTAGCTCTGTGGGTCAGCCAGCCTAGTCCCCTGAATAAGGGCCTGGGGGCACTTCACTCTGCAAGCAAGCTTTCTGCTGGAAGGTTTCACTCAGTTTTCTCACTACTGTCTGGGCAGTCCACCACTCTTATCTGGTGTTCTCAGTGTGGCTGCCACCACTTTCTGGTTTCACAGCTCTGATCCTTGGTTCAAGGAAGTTCAACACCATAGGATCTCTGGGTTCAAGGGATGCACTCTGTTTCTGGCACTTTCTTGGTGGTCTTGAATGTCTCCCTTCCTGCATCTGAAATGGCTTGTTTTAAACCCAGTTTCATGGCACAATTGTCTAATCCCCATGTTAGAGTTACACACACCTTATATTCATGGTCCTATCCAGTCATTTGGACTCCTAGTGTGGTGCCATAGGATGAGCATTGTAAACCCTAAGGTCAGTGGTTCAAACCCACCAGTCACTCCTTGGAAACCCTATACAGTGTTGCTATGAGTCGGAACCAACTTGATAGCACTTAACAACAACAGCTACCCAGTCGTTTGTTGTGAGTTACAAAGACTGTGGCTAGAAGAGCTGTATCAGGTAATTCACAGCATCACACTGATTATATCTAATTTATTTTGTTTTCAATTTACTATATAGAGATAAATATGGATAAAGGTTAAAAGATGCCAGAAAGTGTGTCTGATTTTAAAAACAGAACACTAACTATAGTGTCTTTCTTCTCACCCTCTGTGGTTGACATATGATGTGTATTTTTTTTTTTGCTAGAAACACATAACTGTTTTTCATCACCATAAAAACTGATTAATTAATATTAACTATTTTTCAGATTATATTTTTATAAGACTTTTGTTTGAAGTCTACAATTCATAAAGCCTTTATTTTTCACATGGTATAGTTTTTTTTTTTTTTTTTTTAAAGCAAATTCTAGTTCTGTGATGCAGAGTTCAAATACTAATGTGTTGTTTAAATCCATTACACTTTGAACTTTTTTCTGTATGTGTTTTAATATAAATTTACAGCTTTTCTTACAAGGTAAAATTTCACATATGACATTTTACTGTTCTTAACTTTATTTCTTAAATTGTTATATAACCAGAATCTAGATATTCAGGTGTTTTGTTTTGTTTTTTAATGGTATATTAAAATACAACACTAATATCAGCTTTTTAGTTTCTTTTTCTAGTATTTTAGATGTATTTTGATATGATTATATCATAAAATTCTACTTGACAATAGACAAAGCTAAGTTACTTTAACTGTGAAAAAAATAGACTAAAAAGCTTTTTATAATTGGTATCTATAGATCCAAAGGCAGAAACCAGATTATATATTACAGTCAATGACTTTGAATTTCATGTATACAATCGTTCGGATCTTTATGGACGTCTTCAAGAATTATTTGGTTTGGAACCAACAATAATTCCACCAAAGAAGGACGATGATAAAACACGGGAAAATGGAAGAACAAGAACCCAGTCAAAAATGGAAAGGTTCAGTGTCATACTTTTTAATATTTAAACATTTACTCCAGTAAGAATATTATTGACTCTTTTCACCTAAACACCTAACACATTTTATTCATAGAATAACTAAAATTTTAGTTACATAAATAAATGCATTAATTCTTTTACAAAATAAAATGACATTTTTGTATAATATAAAAATAGATCTTGTTCTAGTCTTTCTATTCAGCAGTCTATCCTTGGTCAGCATTGATAACTACTGTTACTAATATGGTTTCTCTCTCTCTTTTTTTTTTTTATGCATACATATACACACAAAAATAAGGAATTTATGCAAATGCATGATTTTTTGTGTGTGTTTAAAAATCATTAGTTCATACAGTGTATATAGTTATATAATTTGCTTTGTATCAGCAATATGTGTTTAAGATCTATGCATATTTGTGTTTCTCAGCCTGCCTTAGTTTTTAAAATTCTACAGCAGAGATATGCAAACTTTGACCCGCATATTAAATCCACCCCACAACCTGTTTTTATAAAGTTTCTATAAATAATATCCATATAAATGGAAAAAAGATTGAAGTTGTCAATGACTTCATTTTGCTCGAATCAACCATCAGTACTCATGGAAGCAGCAGTTAGGAAATCAAACAATGAGTTGCATTGGGCAAATACGCTGCACATGAGCTCTTTAAAGTGTTGAAGAGCAAGAATGTCAGTTTGAGAACTAAGGTGCTCCTTATGCAAGCCATGATATTTTCAGTAACCTCATTTGCAAGAAAACCGTAGAAGAATTGATGCATTTGAGTTTATGGTGTTGGAGGAGAATATTGAAAATACCATGGATTTCCAAAAGAAGAAATAGGTATGTGCTGAAAGAAGTACAGCCAGAGTGCTCCTTGGAAGCCAGGATGGCAAATTTCATCTTTCACACTTTGGACATATTGTCAGGAGGGACCAGTCACTGGAGAGAATTACCATGTTTGCTAAACTGGAGGGTCAGAGAAAAAGAGGAAGACACCCAAAGAGATGGATTGGCACAGTGGTAGCAGCAGTGGGCTCAAACGTAGCAATGATTGTGAGGTTGGCCCAGGATTGAGCTTTGTTTTCTGTTGTGCATAGGGTTGCTATGAGTCGGTACCGACTTGATGGCACCTAACAATAATAATAACACAAATTAACTACATCTATAGAAAGAGATGGTAGAAAAGTTCCATATTATCAGCCAGACAAGACCAGGGACAGTCTGGAACAGACCATCAATTGCTCATATACAAGTTCAGGCTGAAGCTGAAGAAAATTAAAACAAATGCATGGCAGCCAAAATATGACCGTGAGCCTATTACACCTAAATTTAGAGATCATCTCAAGAACAGATTTGATGAATTAGGCACCAAAGACCAAAAGCCAGAAGAGTTGTGGGATGGCATCAAAAATATACAGGGAACAAGCAAAAGGTCATTAAGAAAACAAAAAAGAAGGAAAAGACCAAATGGATGTTAGAAGAGACTCTGAAACTAGCTGTCCAGCATGTTGCTGTTAAGTGCCGTCGAGTCGTTTCTGACCCATAGCGACCCTGTACAGGGTTTCCGAGGCTATAAATCTTTACGGGAGCAGAACGCCTCATCTTTCTCCCACGGAGTGGCTGGTAGTTTCGAACTGCTGGCCTTAAGGTTTGCAGCCCGATTCGTAACCACTACGCTACCAGAGCTCCTTCAGCATAGAGGAGGTAAACGAACTGAATGAAAAATTTCAAAGGGAAACTCAAAGAAGACAATGTCAAATATTATAATGAAATATGAAAAAAGTTGGAGTTAGAAAAGCAAAAAGAAAGAGCTTGCACAGCATTTCTTGAAAGAATTGAAGAAAACATGCAAGCCTTGATTTGAAATATTGAAGGATTCTGTGGGTATAATGGAGTCCTGGAATAAGCTGAACTGCAAAGTTGATTCTAAGTACAAGGTTGGCGTTTCAAGCTCACTGCTCCTGGGAACCCCTACACAGGGTCACTATGGGTCAGGAACCGACTTAATGACAAACATGGACAAAATATTGAATGATGCAGAAAGCATTAAAAGAAGATGGAGGGAATATACAGTCACTGTACCAAAATGTTGTTGTTGCTGTTGTCAGGTGCCATCGAGTCGGAACCGACTCATAGCGACCCCATGCACAGCAGAACGAAACAATGTCCGATCCTGGGCCAACCTCACTACCGCTGCCACACTTGAGTCCATCAATGATGCCACCTGGCCGATCCATCTTGTTGGGGGTCTTCCTCTTTTTCTCTGACCCTCCACCCTACCCAGCATGACATCCTTCTCCAGCGATTGTTTCCTCCAGACAATATGTCCAAAGTAGGAGAGACGAAGCTTAGCCATCCTGGCCTCCAAGGAGCACTCTGTACCAAAAAGAAATGGTCAATGTTCAACCCTTTTGAGAGCCAATTTAAGAGCCAGTAATACTGAAGGAAGAAGTTCAAGGTGTACTGAAGGCATTAGCAAATATCAAGACTCCAGGAATTGCTGGAATACAAATAAAAATCTTTCAACAAACTGACGCATCATTGGACACACTTACTCATCTATGCCAAGAAATTTGGAAGACAGCTACCTGCTCAACGGGTTGGAAGAGATCCATATTTGTCCTCATTTCAAAGAATTGTTGTTAAGTGCCCTCAAGTCGGTTCTGACCCACAGTGACCCTGTACAGGTGTCCGAGACTGTAAATCTTTACGAGAGCAGAAAGCCTTATCTTTCTCCTGTGGAGTGGCTGGTAGTCTTGAAATGCTGACCTTAAGGTTCACAGCCCGATTCATAACCACTGCTCTACCAGAGCTCCTTCATTTCAAAGAGAGGGGCCCTAATATGGAATGTGACAGTCATCAGACAATATCATTAATATTACATGCAAGTAAAATTTTGTTAAAGGTAATGCAAAAAATTACCTGCAACAGTACATTGACAGGGAACTTCCAGAGGTTCAAGCCAGTTTCAGAAGAGGATGTGGAATGAGGGCTATGATTTCTGACATCAGATGGATCTTGACTGAAAGCAGAGAATACCAGAAAGATGTTTATCTGTACATTATTGACTTGACTACACAAAGGTTTTAGATTGTTGTGGATCATGACAAACTGGATAACATTGCAGATAATGAATATTTCAGAATACTTACTTGTGCTCATGAGGAATCTGTACACAGACCAAGAAGCAGTTATTTGAACAGAACAAGGGAACACTTAATGGTTTAAAATTAGGCACGTTGTTTGTCAAGTTTGTATTCTTTCACCATGCTTATTCAGTCTGTATGCTGAGTAAATAATTCCTGAAGCTGTATTATATGAAGAATGTGGCGTCAGGATTGAAAGACGATTCATTAACAACCTGTGATATGCTGATGAGACAACCTTGCTTGCTGAAAACCAAGAGGACTTAAAATACTTACTAATGAAGACCACAGCCTTCGATATGGGTTGTACCTCAATGTAAAGAAAAAAAAAAATCCTCACAACAGTACTAATAAATACCACCCATATAAATGGAGAACAGATTGAAGTTGTCAAAGACTTCATTGTGCTCGAATCAACTGTCAACACTCATGGAAGCAGCAGTTAAGAAATCATATGACATTGCATTAGGCAAATCTGCTGCACAAGACTTTTTTTTAAGTATTCAAGAGCTAAGATGTCAGTTTGAGTATTAAGGTGCGTCTGACCCAAGCTGTGGTATTTTCAATAGCCTAGTATATGTGGGAAAGTTGGACAGTGAATAAGGAAGACCATAGAAGAATTGATGCATTTGATTTATAGTGCTGGAGGAGAATATAAAAAGTACTATGGACTGCCAGAAGATCAAACAAATCTGTGTTAGAAGAAGTGCAGCCAGAATGCTTGGAAGCCAATGTGGCCAGATTTCATCTCTCTTCAGACAAATTATCAGGAGGGACCAATTCTTGGAAAGGATAACATGTTTGATAAATTGGAGGGTCTGAGAAAAAGAGGAAAACACCCCACAAAATGGATTGGCACAGTGGCAGCAGCAATGGGCTCAAACTTAGCATTCTGAGGTTGGCCCAGGACTGTGCTTTTTTTGTTTGTTTTGTAGAGGGTTACTGTGAGTTGGTACTGACTTGACAACACATAACAACAACAGGTGAATTAGATCTGTGAATAGATAATTGTAATCAAGAACTGTTACCATAGCGTAGATTAGAATATGATGTGATCAGGGAGGGACGGGACCTGTTCAATGTATGAATTAAACAAGCAATAACGCAGATGAAGAGTATACAATACATATGCAGTAGGGAAACTGAAAAACAGTGTATTATGATGGAGTGACTTATTTGAGGTATAGATTAATTATACTGCCAATGTAACCAGTTACTGGGTGTTAATAATATGGATTTATATGGAATCTGTAATGTGATTGTAATCCTGGTGTAGTGCTGTGGGCTAATGCATCAGACTGCAAAGTTGTTTGAACTTCAGGGTCAGTGGTTCAAGCTCACCAGCTGCTCCTTGGAAACCCTATAAAGTGTCACTTTGGGTCGGAATCGACTCCATGGCACTTAACAACAACATAATGTGATTGGAGGAGGATAACATTGGAGGCAGGAGACCAGTTAGAAGGCTGTTGTAATAATTTAGGCAAGAGGTGATCATCTGCTGAATTGATACTAATAATGAAAGAGAGAAGTGCATCCACAAGTTTCAGTGAGTAATTAGGTGTGTAGTGAGCAAGGAGAAAAAAGTGAAGCAATTTCAGATTTGAGCAGGGATCATATGAACCAGAGAACTTTGCAAAGGATAAGCAGGAGATGGTAAAGTCAGTTTTTAATTGTTTTTAAGTGCTGAGGGATACTTCATGGAGATAACCTCAGAAGAGTGATTTGAGAGTCTTCTGGTTGTTAAAGACATATGCTTGAGCTTTCTTCTGAAGTGCTTAGGGAATTCATTTGCTAAATGTTGGGTACTATTTACTTTTTCTTAATTCTTAGCATATCTTATTTTCGTTTTACTTAGGGAAAATTATTTTGGCACAAGGATTTTTGAGGGGAGAGAAGGAAAAGCTGGGTTGTTTTCAGAAGTGCTTAAACAGTGGAAAACATAAAAATGACTTCCACTCTAGAGCATTTATTGTTTTGGTAATAACTTTGGCTCTTATAAAATGCTATATGATAATGTAATGACCAAATGGTAGGTATAATGACAGCATACTTTATCATTTAATCATTATGACTTAGTATTGTAAAACTTTTGTTATTACAGCGTGACATTCTAAAAATTGTTACGTAGAGTTCATTTCCAGAATCATTTTAGTGTTACCAGTATTTCCATATATGATCATTGTTTTGTTTGCTGGAGCAGTTATCAGATAGATGTGTTTGGAAATATACAACTGATGTTAGTAAAATACCTTGTGAAGAAGTCAGCTGTACCCTCAGGTGTTTACATTTTTCTTGTTTACTTTTACTTTATTTTTTCTTCTCAGAGTTAAAGTAAAAACAGAATCTCAAGACCCCACATCTTCCTGGAGGTCACTTATTCCAGTCATAAAGGTTAATGTGAGCACAGTAAGTAAATTTTGCCAATTAATGTTTAGTGGATTAATAATGTATAACTTTTATTTGAGGAATTTATTTTTGCAAATGTAATTTTCACCTAGGAAGATAAGATAATTTTGATTCTTATTTTAATAATGTGTGAAAGATTTATTTGAATATCAATACTATCTTAGCACAAATTTATTAGACTTTATAGGCTTAAATTAATAGACTATAAAAGCTTAAATTCACAAGTGCTTAAAGTTTTCACACAGTGTTCTAAATTGACCAGTAAAATAATTCAAATGGCATATAGTGTGCTAAAGTGGAATCATTTAATTGGTGCTTGAAAACACTTGTTCTTAGGACAGCTTAGGAAAATAAACAAACAAAACTGTAGCCAGAGCAGCATGATATAATATTTCTTTTATCTATTTTTTAGGGGCGTTTGGCCTTTGGGAATCATTACCAACCTCAAACTCTGTGCATCAACTTTGATGATGCTTTCTTAACTTATACTACAAAACCACCTTCAAGTCATCTTGACCAATTTATGCATATTGTGAAAGGAAAACTTGAAAATGTTCGAGTCATGCTTGTTCCTAGTCCAAGATATGTTGGTCTTCAAAATGATGAGTAAGAAATTCTTTATTAGAAAAAAAAAATTTTAATCTAATATAATAAAGTAGAATCTTTAGCATCATTTTGGTTTCTTTGGTACAAGTTGTATGATAATTAAGTTTTCTGTCTATAAAAGTGATTAATAGAATGTTATTGTTGTTAAGAGCTGTCATGTTGGTTCTAACTCATAGCAGGTTTCCAAGGAGCACCTAATAGGTTTGAACCACCAACCTTGTGATTAACAGTCTAGTGCTTATCCTATAGCACCACACTAGGATTCCAATTAAAATTTGTTGTTGTTGTTAAGTGCCTTTGAGTAGGTTCTGACTCATAACAATCCTATATAGGGTTTTCAAGGAGTGGCTGGTAAGCTTAAACTGCCGACCTTATGGTTCAAAGTGTCTTTGCAGTCTGGCACATTAACACACAGTTCCACATCAGGACTCCATTTTATAAAGTAGGGCTGGTCTATTAAGTCGTCCTACTTTTTAGAATATGTGGATATGTTGTTGTTGGTATTATTAACTGCCATTGAGTATGTTCTGATTCATAGCAACCCTGTATAGGTTTTTGGAGGAGGGCCGGTGGTTTTGAACTGCTAACCTTGTGGTTAATAGTCCAGTGCTTATCCTACAGTATGACACAGGACTAATATACTAATCTAAAATATTTCACTGCATGATTATAGATATACTTTTCTACCCATTTCTCTTCCTACTCTCTGTATTTGGGAAGTTTATATTGGGCAACACTGAATGGTATAAAATTAGAAAAGGTGTGTGCCAGGATTGTATTCTTTCACCATATTTATTCAATCTGTATGCTGAGTAAATAATCTGAGAAGCTGGATTGTATGGAAAAAAAACCCCAAAAAACTTGGCATCAGGGTTGGAGGTAGACTCATTAACAACCTGTGATATGCAGATGATACAAACCTGAAAGTGGAGAGGATTTAAAATACTGATAAGGATCAAAGGCCACAGCCTCGGGTTGAACCTCAATGTAAAGAAAGAAAAAATCCTCATCACTGGACCAATAAATATCATTGATAAATGGAGAAAGATTTAAGTTGTCAAAGACTTCATTTTGCTCTGATCCACCATCAGCACTCATGGAAGAAATCAAAAGATGTAGCGCATTAGGCAAATCTGCTGCACAGGAACTTTTTTTAGTGTTAAAGAGCACAGAGGACTAAGGTGCTCCTGACCCATGCCATGATATTTTCAATAACCTCATATGCATTTGACAGTTGGATAAGGAATAAAGAAGATTGTAGAAGAATTAATGCATTTGAGTTATGGTGCTGGAGTAGAATATTAAAAGTACCATGGGCTGCCAAAAGAACAAACCAATTTATGTTGAAAGAAGTACAGCCAGAATGCTCCTTAGAAGCCAGGATGGTCAGACTTCATTTCTTATAATTTAGACATATCAGGAGGGAGGACATCATGCTTGGTGGTAAAGTGAAGGGTCAGCGAAGGGGAGGAAGTCTCCCAATGAGATGGATTGGTGCAGTGGCAGTAGCAATGGGCTCAAGTGTTGCAATGATTGTGAGATTGATGCAGGACTGGGCTGTCTTTTGTTGTGTTGTGCATAGGTTATGAGTTGCTACCGACTTGATGGCACCTTAATAACAACAATATTGGACAATTAAGCTCAGAGTTTTTGTTTTCAGAGGGCAATAAGTAATTGGTAAATTAAGAAATTCATTATAGTGGAGTTCCATTTTGATTTCATGAAAACTTCAACATTGAATCAAAATTGCTCTTTGAAATCATTGAAGTTAAAATGGTACAAGTTTTCAACACACTTGGGATTTCTTTAAATTCCAAAATGTTACTTTTTATCTTAGCTTTCCAGATTCTCTTTTTCTTCACTGAAGGAACTGCTTACATTTAGGCGTCATATTGTATTAATAATGCACAGTAGACTCACATTCAATGTAATGCGATGCGTATATACAAGTGAACTGGAACCCTGAAGAATTCCACCCATGTGAATGCCACAGGTGGGATAATGGTCGCTCATGATACTGATATCTTTTTTGTGAAGGAGACTATGGTTGAATTTGTGTAGCTCAGCTGCTCAGCTGATTAGCATCCATTAATGTTTTGTTTTTATTTTTGTGCATAGGCACTAAAAAGTGTAAAGAGATTCTAAGAAACACAAGTATTCCGTTTTAGTCCCAACACTTCCTGGCTTGATTCTCTGGAGATTGGCTAGAATAATAGAGAGGATTTTTTCTGTATGACTAACTTGATGACACTGGATTTATTTGCCCTCACTTTCTAGGATCATGGACTTTCCTAAGCATATTCTGGCCTGTGGGCTTTGCACGTAATTTTAGTGGTTACAAATCAGGCTGCTATCCTTAGGGTTAGCACTTCGAAACTACCAGCGCTTCCACGGTAGAAAGATGAGGCTTTCTGCTTCTGTAAAGATTTACAACCTCAGAAACCCTGAACAGGGTCGCTATGAGTCAGAACTGACTCCACAGCACATAATAACAAATATTAACCTAAATATATCCAGATTTTGAAAAATGTAATGGAACAAGATTAAAAACAGTTCTATTAATAATTTGTGTAAAAGGACTGAAAATTGTATTATGTGCTCTTCAAAGTGTAGAGAGTAACTTATGTAATTAAGTCTAACCTTTGTGATTTAATACATCTCTAGAAAAATGCTAAATTCGTATATAGTATTATTTTTGTATGTTGTCAAGTCGGTTTCAACTCATAAAGATCTTGTATAGAATTTCCAAGAGCTGTTGGTGGGTTTGAACTGTTGACCTTGCTGCTGTTACCAATTCAGTGCTTATCCTACAGTGCCACAACAGGTGCTATTATATATTATTATGAGTTTTTTCAGTCTAATTTTAATTTTGTTGTAAATGCAGACTATTCCTACACTAATCTATTGTACTTAATTAAACTTGGTTTTAAATTGCCTTTTCACATTCAAAACAAAAAGAAATATAAAAGCAAATTTTTTTTTGCCCTTGAACTAATTTACTAAGAAAATTACTTAGAGCCATTTTGTTTAGATGCAATGGAGTACAGTTGGTAGAACAGTTTATTGTCATGTGAAAGGTTTTTTCTCTTTCATTTTTCTAATGTTGGTAAGCTTTTTAGTAATTTTCATTTTTATTTTGGTTTATTACTATCCTTAACTAGGATCATGAACATTTTTATGTTCTGAAGATATAGTTTGTCATTTGTGTCTTCTATTTATAGACCACCAAGGTTAATGGGAGAAGGCTTTGTGGTGATGCAGTCCAATGATGTTGATATCTATTACTACATGGATGAGCCAGGTATTTATTGTTTTTTAAATGTTTCATAGCAACAATTCTGATTTTTCTTTGAAATGCTTATGACTAATATCTTAAATCTACTTTCTTAAGATAATAATAAGTATTAATAAGTGGCAAATGTGGATGTAAAGGTTCCTGCTTAAAAATATTTCAATTTAAATATTAAAATAATATTTTAGTATTTAATATTTGGAGTCCTGGGGTAGCACTGTAGGAAACACCAGACTGCTTAACCACAAGGTTGGCGTTTAAATGCACCAGGTTGTTACTTGGAAAACCTATACAGGGTCACTGTGAGTTAGAACTGACTCACTGACACTTAACAAAAGCAGTCTAAAACTGAATAAGAAAATCTTTCCTTTAGATTCCATTTTCATAGAAAATATCTTAAAAATTGAGATTGTGAATAAAATCCTGGAAGGAATAGAATTATAGTTTAGGTAGTTCATTGTTGTTTAGGGGAAAAAAAACAAACCCACATGTTGGATTTTAGGCTTAAAGTTACAAAAGAAATGCAGCTAGTAGCAGTGCTTCACAGGTGACTTCAGATTATTGTTTGTAGACATTGGATTTGTAGTCCACTTTATTTTTTTCCAAGTTTTTATTGTGAGGTTTACATAGGAAAGCATCTGCTTTACACTCATCATATCTATTTCGTTTCATTGTAATGATTACAATCCCCTTCATGCATCATCAAATAACCAAAGGGTGCACTATACAGGCCCACCCCCTGGCAGCCAGCACACAGCCCTTCTCCCTCCCTGATTCCAGTGTCCCCAGCCGCTCCATCTGTCCACATCATCCTCTGTGTCTCCATCCCTGGCATCACTGCCTTTCTGGGTAGGGTCCCGCTCTCCATTCTTCTTACTTGATGTTCCAGGGGACCTCTGCTCCTGGACTGCAAAATCAATCACTCTCCTCTTTTTGTCAAAAAACATCTACCTCAGTATCCAATCTGTATGGGTGGGGCTGATGAAAGGAGATGCAGATAGGTCTCTTGTGATACAATAGTGAATAATTATTATCAGGACTGATTGTGAGGGTTGGAAATGTAAAGGTAGACGTTTTGCAGCAAAAGGAGGGGAATGATTGACTTTGCAGTCTAGGAGCTGAGGTCCCTAGGACCATCAAGGGAGAAGAGCGTAGAGCGGGACCCTACCCAGGAACGCAGTGACACTGGAGATAGAGGCAGAGATGACATGGAAAGATGGAGTGGCTGGAGACTTTGTTGAGTTTCTTTCTGTTTGTTCTGCCCCTTTTCGAAAGTTACGTATTAAAACTTCCCACTATAATTGTCGATTTATCTATTTCTTCAATTCTAGTAGGGTTTTCTTCATATATCTTGGTGATTTTTCATTGAGAGCGTAGTATTTGTTATGATTATGTCCTCTTGCTCAATTGACCCTTTGATCATGAGAAGGGTCCTTCTTTGTCTCTTATGCTGGGTTTTGTATTAAACTTTACTTTATCAGAGATTAGAATTGCCACTCCTGCTTGTTTAGTGTTACAGTTAACTTGGTATATTTTTTTCCATCCTTAGCTTTTAGTCTGTTTTTGTCTTTGTGTGAAAGGTGTGTATCTTGCAGGCAGCATATTGAAGGGTCTTATTTTCTTATCCAATCTGCCACTCTCTGTCTCTTCACTGGTACGTTCAATCCATTGACATTCAATTTCATTATCTATGTTGTTGTTGTTAAGTGCCGTTGAGTCGGTTCCGACCCATAGCCACCCTGTACAGGGTTTCTGAGGGTGTAAATCTTTACGGGAGTAGAAAGCCTCATCTTTCTCCCGCGGAGTGGCTGGTAGTTTCGAACCGCTAACCTTAAGGTTCGCAGCCCGATTCGTAACCACTACGCTATTGCTGCCATTATATTAATTTTTTTGGTAGTGCTGATCATTTTGTTGTTCTGCATGCCTTCTTTTGCTGAGTTTTTTTTTTTTGTGTGTGTGTGTGTGTGTGTGTGCTATTTCTTTTTTTATTAAATTTTTTATTGTGAATTATGTGATAGTTTACATGGGAGAACATTAGTTTTACGTTTATCCTATCATATATCATTTCATTGCCTTGGTTACCATCTCCTCCATAATACATCAACCAACCAAAGGGAATACCCTACAAGCCAGGACCCCGGTCATCAGCACAGAGTCCCTCTCCCTCTCTGAGCCTAAAGTCCCCAGCTGTCCCATCTCTCCACGCCATCGTCTCTGCCTCCATCTCAGGCATCACTGCTTCTCTGGGTAGGGTCCCACATTCCGCTCTTCTCCCTTGATGGTCCCAGGGACTTGTGCTCCTAGACTGCAAAGTTAATCACTCCCCTCCTTGCTATAAAATGTCTACCTTTACATTTCCAACCCTCACAATCAGTCCTGATAACAATTATTTACTATTGTATCACGAGAGACCTAGCCGCATAGCCTTTCATCAGCTCCGCCTAGACAGATGGGATACTACTCAGTGGAAATTCTACCTTCCTCCGAGACGTCTGGATCTAAGTTCCTTCTTGAAAGCTTGTAAGCCAGTCACTTCTTGCCTTTGTAGCCCCCCTCCCCAATGTCCATGTTGCCCATCCCTGTCCACTCTGTGTATGGAGGGGGAGGGAATGATCCTTGCTATAAAGATATGTTCCCTCTTTTGAGCGACTGCATCCATAGGTGTAGATCAAGTTCGTCAAATTGTATCAGATTACTATTTTTTTCCTCTTCTTTCTTCTTCTGTTGTGCTATTTCTTCTCAGTTTCTTCTTAATTTTTATGTTTGCTTGTTTTGCTTCGAAGCTCATTTTCATGGGAAGTTGTGAAATATTAAGTTTCTTTGGGGCTGCCTTATAGTCTATTAACTTTTCTCTCCATTTAAGAAAATCTATTGTATCCTGTCTACCACTCATCTGTCAGTTTATTGTACTGTGGTGGTTTGTGAATTCCAGTGATTCTGAAAGCTATGCCAGCAGGGTTACCCATGGTAGACAGGCTTCAGATGAGCTTCCAGTTAAAGACAGACTAGGAAGAAGGAATGATGATACAGTTCCAAATATTTAGTCCCTGAAAACCTTATGAATAGCAGAGAAACACTCAGATATATTGCCAGAAAATGAGCCCCTCAGGTTGGAAGGCACTCAGAATGCGACTGGGGAAGAGCTGCCTCCTCAAAGTAGAGTTGATCGTGATGCCCTTGTGAGAAAAGCCTGCATTACCTTCATTTGCTGATGGGGCACAATGCAAAATGAAGAGAAACAGCTATAAACATCCATTGAAAATCAGAACATGGAATGTATGAAGTATGAATCTGGTAAAATTGGAAGTTGTCAAAAATTAAATGGAATGCATAAACATTGATATCTAAGGCATTAGTAAGCTGAAATGGACTGGTATTGGCCATTTTGAATCTGATGACCACATGGTTTACCATGCCGGAAATGACAAATTGAAGAGGAATGGTGGGAATGGTGTTGCATTCATTGTCAAAAATAATATACCCAGATCAGTCATGAGGTACAATGCTGTCT